CTGCTCATACAAAGAGATGCAGAGACACCTGAACCATTCCKGTCACTGAGTTTTAAGAACTGGGAGGCTGATGCAGTGCTCCCACAGAGGCTGCCTTTGTCTCCCCTCTATATTCAGAGAACTTCATTGCCCTGTGCAGGCTACACTGGCCACTGATTTCCTGCCACAAATGCTTACTCTGCACATTGGAATRGTCAAGGATACTGTCCTAGGCTTTGACATTGGTAGGGAGCATTGCAAGTTTGGAAAGAATTCCTGTCATGGCCATTCAGTTATGCTTATTAATTGTAATGCAGTAAGTGCAAGAGTGCCTAAGTCAGCTTGGTCAATTGATTATCCTGCATGAAGTTCGAATCACTGGGTTTAACTCATGAAACACAGCCACTTTCTCACCCTCTGAAACTGATCTTTGCACTGAAGGCTCAGGGAGCAATGACAAGACCATTATGAACAATAACTTCAGAAGAGATACTTCTGCAGTTCTTAAAATTAGAACTGCAGTGTGACTGACTGGAGGAAATACATCTGAAGTTTAGTTTTGTAAAGATGGATTAAATAAACTTGAAAACAAACATCTCTCAATCAGTTAATGAAAAAAGTCATGAAAACAAACATCTCTCAATCAGTTCATGCTCTAAACCTACTAGGAGTGGCAGAATAACCCCAATCCTCTCCTCTGTTCTGCAAAAACTTGGGCATCATTATTCTTTATTCCACCTGATCCAAATTTCAACATCTGTATTTATATTCCCTCCTATTTCACAGTATCAAGAAATGACAATTTAAGCTGAAAGCTCTACAGAAGCTAGCTGGGAAGGATGACATGACCACAGCTCTCTTTCCCAGCCCAGCTGTATTTTCAGGAGGGGGGGAAAGGAAGTGACAGTGACACAGAATCCCCTGAGCAGAGGTGCCACTTACTCGTGCTGTTCTGTCATCGTAGCCATCATCAGACATTAAGAAGTCACAGACTCCTCTGGTGGGAATGCTGGTGTTTTCTGTAATCCATGTGTGCAGATAAACTTCYCCCAACACCCGTTTCATGTGTTCTCGTGTCAAGTGCATTTCTACTGCCTCAATCTGCGCCTGTATTTCAAGCAGCTTTTCTACCATTGGCTCACGGCCTCCAGTGTCACCTGACTGATGGAGAGAATCCTCTGCAGTGTCATCAATGTCCACACTTTTGCCTGTGTCAGCCAGGCCTTGCTTGCTGGCTTGTTTCGAAGTTCCTTCCTCTTGATCATCTTCAGTGCTGCCCATCCCTGGYGAATCCGATATCAAGATTTTGGCATCCTCGTGTGAAGGCCTCCACGTGACCTCTGAGGGGGCTTTCTGCATTGACTGGTAYAAAATCCTCAAGAGAAACAGCTTAAACCTCCAGAAATAAGTGGAACCACAGCTCTCTATCTTTTTATCCAGTGCTTCCTGTAAGAACTGAGGAATATGCTTRTCCTTCAAAATTTTCCAGCGTACAAGATCCGTCAGGTCCACTTGTCGGAAAAGGTTCTGAACAGAGGATTCCAAGAGCTGTGCAGCTGCCTCCTCAAAAGTCTTGAGGGTGACAAACTGGACTTGGTAGTTTTTGTTGACTGGGTGCAGCCCGTTGGCCATGCCCTCGGTCGTGATGACCGCCAGGTAGGCCCCACACGGGCTGACAGCGATTCCGTGAGTCCTGACAGAGCCAAACACCTCTGAGAGCTTTATCAGCTGGTGCTCAAACTTTAAAGCAACGTCTGTGAATATGGGGATGAGCTGCCTGACTTTGCCATCGCTGGAGCACGTGTACACYGTGCCGTTCTGCTTGTCCGCAGTCATGGAGACGATTGGCAAGGAGTGGAGCCCCGTCACGTGGGAATTGTGGACGTTCAGCCCCGCTTTGGATATCAACAGSAGGCACCAGAACACGTAAGGGCCTCTTGCAGCCACCACCAGGCTGCAGCTGCATTTCTGGTACGGGTGGTAGAGAGGGATACATTTGATGCTGTGCACGGGCAGCTGGTCCATTTCCTGCCACAAGACCACGGGCTGTCTCAGTGTGAAGTAGCCTTTGACYGCCTTGAGGTTGACAGGGATGATCTTCACCGGGCCGTAGGCGCTCCCCACGATCAGCCCGCTCATCTTCCGGTTGTTGTGTTCATATTCCCACCAGGACAACACGCTGGGGGAGCTTATTCCCGACTCTATGGTATTGCAGGAAGTGATGGATTCCTTGCCCAGAAARGGCAGCTGGAACTGCCAAACGGCGATGTTCCCGTTCTCGAAGAGCACCGCCAAGAGCACGCTGCCCACATCCCGGCATTCATTGTTGTGCTTGACCTGCTGGGTGGTGCAGATGCCCGACCACTCCATGCGCACCGGGGTCTGCATGCTGTGGCGCCGCTGGAACTCGGGGAAGTCTCCCAGCTCCCCGCAGGGAGTGTCAGCCTTGCACAGTTTGTAACTGGCCTCGAACAGGCGCTCGCCATAGAGYTCGGTCAGGTCCACCAGCTGCACCCACTGCAGCCTGTTGAGGTTGGCGTGGATGGTCAGGCGGTTGTCCATGGTCAGAGCTGCCAGAAGGCATCTCCCGTTGGCGTCGCAGCCCAGAGGAGACCAGCTGGAATATTTGAATCCCCGCATGGGTGTCAGGGACTTKCCCTCGGGATTGAACACTCGGTCCAGCATAAATGTCTGGCTGACAGTCGGATCCACTGAGCTGGCAAACTTCTCTTTACATTCAGCCACCTCCTTCTTTGGGCCAACCTGAAAGAGAGAAAAAAACCCCTCTAAACAATTGTACAAGTGATTTTTAGGAAGGCTTTCCTGGAATTAATTCCCTCTTGAAACAAAGCATCCCCAGTCACAGCCTATACTACACTGTTCCAGTGGCTAATTAACGTCACTCCTAAAGACTTCAGCTTCATTAATGCCCTGAATTTGCATAGTTTTTACTCTCAGGTATTGAATTTTTGTCTGCTGAATCAAAGAGCCTGTTTTCATACTTCTGTTCTCTTAAAGATACCTTGCATAATATGTAAATACTCAGTATTTCAACTCTATTCCATATTTCAGCATTGTTTTGGAAAACAAAATCAGATTCAGAACAACAAGTATTATTATTTACTAAGATATTCACCCACACCTTCCATCTTTGTAAAAAGTCAGATGTTTCCCTGAAGGTCAAAGAAATCCCTGCTGGAAAAATCCTTTACTTGGGTAACAAAACAAAGGAAGATTCCTACTGAAAACTGTACTGGAGCTCAAGTGATTCTTGGAAAAACTGCAAAAYTTAAGAATTCCCGAACATCACTGGGATATGGTTTTCTCTCTSTTGTGCTTTTAAAATGCATCAACACACAAGACCCTGCAGGAAATTCTGTGCAGGGCAGAGGCAATCCCGGGCAGCTCCCCAGAAGAGGGATCACAATCCCGGGATGGGTCAGGCTGGAAGGGGCCACAATGGGGGAGACTCCAGACCCTCTCTGGTTTCTGTTCCAATGCTCAGTCACAGCACGTTCCACTTGTTTTATTGCTTGGCACCGCCGGGAAAAACCACCGAATCATTACAGCTGAAAAAAGCCTCCGAGATCACCGAGTCTAACTTGTGTGACCCAAACAAAAGCACCACAGAGTGCCACATCCAGTTGTTCCTCAAACACCTCCAGGGACAGTGACTCCAAATCTCCCCGGACAGCTCGCTCCAATGTCTAATCACCCTTCCTGTGATGAAATTCCTCCCAATGTCCAACCTGAACTTCCCCTGGCTCCCTCTTCTCGCCACCCCCCTTTCAGATGTTTATACCCACTGAGGAGGCCGTGCCGGGCGCTCACCTTGAGCATGCAGGCGGCGGCGGGCGCGGGCACGGCGGTGCGGTGGATGACCATGTCCTGCCCGCCGCTGTGCACGTCGCTGAGCTGCTCCAGCACSGCGATGCTGCGGGCCGTGCTCACCGACACCCGGTGGTCCTCGGACCAGGCCAGCGGCTCCAGCCCGCTGGCGCCGTGCTGCAGCCGCACCGCCGGTTCCCGCCGCACCGCCGTGAGCCTGAACCCGGCGCTCGCCGCCGCCGCCGCCGCCTCCTCCGCCACCGCCTCGAGCCCCAGCGGCGGCTCCTCCCGCCCCGCCGCCGCCATGTTACCGCCGCCTCACGGGCCGCGCGCACGCGCCGCCGCCGAAGCCCCC